AAATAAGCCAGGCACAAAAAGCCACATATCGCATGATCCCATTTATATGAAATGTTCATAATAAGCACATTTATAGAAACAGAAGGTAGATAAATGTGTTGCCAGGAGCTGGGGGAGGGGGATTTCCATTTGGGATGATGAAAAAGTTGTGGAACTAGATAGTGGTGATAGTTACACAACATTGTGAATGTCCTAAATGCTAGTGAATTGTACGCTTTTAAAAAGTTAATTTCATGCTATGTCAATTTTACCTCAATTTAAAAAGAGAGGACCTAGACCATGGGAAGAGTCTTTAAACTGACTCCTTAACCCACATTCCCTCCAAGCCTCAGCTGCTCTGATGCCAAGATTCTCGTGGCATCAGAGCTCACCAGCCTGGCACTAAATCTACGAAGTGGGGTCGATATTTCTGCAGGCTAAAAGTTGGCCCTCAGGAGCTAAAGTGTGCTTATTCAGTAAGCATGTGGCCCCTTTGCTGAGCTATGGAGGCATGTTCTGGACATAAATTGTTTGAAATGTGGCCATTGATAGCAGCATCTCTCTTTGGTGTGTCCTAGCAGGAAGAGATCACAGACAGGATGCCCCTCTAGAGTGTTCTGAACTAATCAGGTGTCTCTGGAATCTTCTCCCACCTACACAGCAGTTGAATTTCTCAAGCAGGGAAATTTTCTGCGTGGTCTGAAGCTTGTTGCCATTTTATTTAGCCTACTGTTGGAGCACAGAGAGAGGTAAGGTCACCTCTGGCCTAAGCTTCAAAGTTCATCCCTCAAGCCTTCTAAGGCCCAGTACCTAATTTTGTTTTAATTTTATATTCTGTTTCATAAGAGGACTCCAGATTATATAAGCTTCAGTCCCAAAACTAGAGACCCAAACACCTTAGTACAGGGAAGAAAGCTCTGATTAACCAGCAACTGTTTTTTTTTTCTTCTCTTTATTCTTTCCAGCTCTACTGAGGCATAATTGACAAATTAAAAATGTGTAATATTTAAGGTGGACAATGTGATGATTTGATATACTATATATTGTGAAATGATTACCACAATCAAGTTAGTCAATGCATCCATCCATAACTTCATCTAGTTCTGTTTGTTTCTGAATTCATAGAACTTTTTTAAAATCATAGAAACAGTAGAAGAGTAGTTACTGAGAGTTGCAATGGGTGGGGTGTGAAATGGGGAGATGTCAGTCAGTGGGTACAAATTCTCAGTTATAGGATGCATAAATTTGGGCAATCTAATGTACAGCACTGCGGCTATATTTAATAATACTGTATTGCATATTTGAAATTTACTGTAAGGGCAGATCTTAAATGTTCTCATAGCGACTATTTTTCTATTTGCCCCATTTAAACTACTCTAGTTGGTGTCCTGGCAATGACGAGGACTGTCACCTTGTTTCCTGACCTTGCCACTGCAATCCAAATGGGGTTGGTTTTTATCATGCCAGGAAAGGAGGGGGAGGTTGCGTGGGTCCAGCAGGTGTGTCTCCTGACTGCCCCTTCCTGGCAGTCTGTCACTGTGTGTTCCCCAGGAGGCCCTGGACCAAAGGCCTTTTCATCTCAGTACCCCAATTTCTAACCTCATAAGGTTACGCTGAAGATGAAAGGAATTGATGTAGTTAAAAGGGCTGAAGCAGGGGCTTGGTAACTGGTTGCTCTTGTTATGTCCCCTGCTTGTAGAGGAAGTTGGTATAGTCTCTCTCTCTCTCTCTCTTTCTCTAGCTCTAGCCCTCCTTCAACCATTTCCTTATCATCTGAATGCCATCTTGGCCCATTTCCTCCAAGCCCCACTTCTGCTTAAGGACAGGGCTCTGGAGGTTGACAAACCCAAGTTCACTCCCTGGTTCTACCACTTTTTAGCCAGCCACATGCCCTTAAGCAAGTGACATTCCCTCTCTTCAACTGGGCACCCTCATCTGTACAATGAGGGTGGGAGTGATCATATTAATACTAACTTCCTTGAGTCACTGGGAGCATTAAGGTAAAGCCTAAAATGCATTTGGCACTGTGCCTGTCACTTAGTAAGTATTCCAAAGTCATTCTTGAAGTCTACTTATAAATCAGGTCTCCCTTACTAAAAACAAAAGGAAATGGAGAAAGGGAAGAAAGGAGAAAGACGGGAATAAGGAAGGAAGAGAGGGAGGGAGGAAGGAAGGAAGGAAGACAGGCAGGCAAGACTCTAATCTTTGCTCCTTGTTCTCTCTAGCCACTCACACTCAAGTTCCAGCCCCCACCAATTTGGAGATGATTCTCTGATAAACCTCTAAACTACAGACAACTCTGTTCTTCATTTCTAAGATGAGGATGATAATGGGAATATCTTTCTCATAGAGTTGTAAAGATAACTATGTGAATGCATACAAAGTGCTTAGTACCACAATAGTCATTTGTGTCTTGTGATTCCAGTAGTTTTGGGCAGAGGATTGTGTGCCCTGGTCAGAGTGCCCGCAGGCAAGGTTGCCACTCATCTGATGGGGCCAATCCAACAGACATGGAGCCCAGAAACAGGCTTCCATGTTCAATCCCATGTCCTGTTCTTGGGAAGGCACTCCCACTCCAAAACACAAAACCACTGGGTTTATCTGGGCCACCCTGATGAAAGTCACACTCCCCTGAACAAAGGTCCTCACCACAAGGGCACCTGGATCATCCTGCTCTGTGAAGTACTGAAAGAGTGAGGCAGAAAATGGAGTGACTGCTTCCAGAAATGGAATTACCTCAAGTCATATCAATTCTCTTGGGAAGAGCCCTTTGGGTTTGTATAGTTCTTTAAGGTCTGAGGGACAGTGGAGAGGCAGGTCACAAGGAGTGCTAGTGCAGAAGTAACATACTATGGCAGCCTGGCATGGGTCAGATCATAAGGGGAGCCAGCCAGGGCGTGGAGTCAGGACTAGCAGGGCCTGGCAGTAAGAAGAGATATTGCTACTGCATTCACACAGTCCCAATCAGAAGTCTTAGAGATTATCTGGAGGGAGAGCTGTGGCTACCCCATATAGTATGTGATTTCCACACAGCCCAAACTACCCTAATTAATAATGACCCAGAACCTGATTATTTCTAGCTCTCAGATTAGCAGTGGCTCCTTATTGCCCAAGCTTGGTTCTGCCAGGTGTCTTGTCCCTAAAATGCACCAGTAGCCCCTCTAAAAACCCACTTGGCTCATCAGGGCCCAGTCCAGGGCCCTCCCCACCTATCCCATTCCTAATTCCATCAGCATTAGCAAGAAGCCCGCCACTGCCTCAGGGACCTGGCATCAGGAGACTCAGCCAAGATGGTGGCACCTGTGAGAGGATCTACAGGTAGCCATGTCCGGGTAGCCAGAGACCAGGCGGCAATGGGGAAGAGCATAAGTGTCCCCTGTTCAATATGCCCTCATCAGCCAAATCTGGGGCCTCAGTTTGGGCTTTGTGGTGTGAAGGTACCACCACCCAAATGGGCCTGGAGCCACTAGCGTGGCTGCCCTCCTTCTCCCTGGGTGGCCCTGGAGGTGAGTCTACACTTGCAGCATTCCTGGGTGGTCCTTCTGTGCATGGGCTCTAGGTGGAGGTGTGGAAAGCTGAGGACAGGGTCAGGCACAGTCCAGGGCAGCCTAGAGATATTTACATCATGATGATGGGATTTGACAGCCCACTTGCCTGTGTGGTATCTGGACCCCACCAGCTCGCAGAGCATTTGGGGGTTACTGCTTGAGAGTGTTTTCCACTGGTCTTGTCACTCCCTAGGTGAAGGAAAGTCTGGCTTTTGTAGGAACTGCCCGGGTCCCTGGTGGAGTATTTCCTTTCTTACCTCTGAATTATTCTGCCTCTTTAGAGCATTGTAGAAAAGGGGTGCATCCTGGTGACATTTTCCCAGCATCAGATGGTTGGAGACTGCAATGAGGAGGCTCCACACAATTCATAGCCTTCAGCCAGCCCCCTTGCTGAAGTGCTGCATGGGACAGAGAAGGCCAAACCAATTGGAGAGGGACTCGATGGAAGCCACACATGGAGTCTTTGTTTTGTGGTCTAGTACTTACTGTGGTTGCCCTGCTCCCATTGACCTGAACCATCCACCTCCCAAGAAAGGGAAGCTTCCTGTTCTTGGAGCTGGCACTAGGAACCACCCTCAGTGGCTTAAACAGATTTATTTTAACTATGAGGTAGTGCACTAGATGAACTAGACTATAGGAGATGCCAGCTCTGTAGCCATCATTTCACAATGCAGCCGTACCTAAGAGCCTAGGACAGGCCAGACCTGGTGGTTGGGGCAGGGTTGGGCCACAGCTGGAGGACTGAAAGTGGGATCTCACCCTGAGTTACAGAGGCACTCCCTGATGGCCAGGCAACACTCCTGTGGGGGGCTTTGTCATCGGAAAATAGGAGTCCATGATCTCTAGAAGGTTGGAAGCACCATGGTGAGATAGGATGTGTGTCCAAGAGTTAAACTGGTTTGGAGTTCTCTTTTAACACAATCATCACCACCCCTTCCTTTAGTCTATGCTGGACTTTGACCATAAAAAACCAAACTTGAAATTGGGATCCCTGCAGCAACTGGTGAGGCACCTAGGAGAGGGTTGGTTTGGGTCCCATATGACTGACATACAGCAGAACAAATATTGGCTTGGGAACCAAACCAGCCCTCTCTTAGGCTTGTTAAGGCCCCATTCAGGATAGTTGCCTCGAGGTGGTTGGAGAGCTGGCAGCCTTTCTGGTGACTGGTGACTTGGTAGTACTCTCTAATAGAATATGTCAATAAGCACAGCTCATTTGACCAGAATTGTAGGCCACCTTTCTTGATCCAACAAGTGCAGACCTGCTACTCTCAGGATTCACATTGCTAGTCTCCCGGACCCCACAGTCTATGTTCAAGTAATTCCCTATTTAAATGTCATGGATGTATTTGGGGAGGCTCATAATTTGATTCAAGTAACAGTCTGATCTGTGCCTCTCACTGAGCTGGTGCAGATAATACTTTCTTTAAGAGTGTGTGCAAGTAGCTCTCCTCAGCCTACTCTCACCCCCAGGGAAAGAAGCCCTCGTGGATGGAGGAAGAAGATTTATCTTTTCTCTACAAGAGCAGCCCAGGAAGAAAGCACCAGGTAAGCATAAGCTTACCAAAGCTGGGACCCATTCACTTTACAGTGGGGAAACTGAGGCCCCGAGTGTGAAAGGGACCTGCAAGAGGTCACACCACAAGGTCCTTTAGAGGCAAAGTCCAGGGAGAAGTGAGAAGGTTGGGCTTAAATGACCTCTGCCCTGTGGCCCTATTGGCCTCCAACCTCGGTTCTGCCTCCACTTCTCCCTTTGCCTATGTGATTTTGGGCTTGTTAGCCAAATTCAGGCAAAATACAGATTAAGCTTGTGAACCTGGGTCCAGCAGAAACGGGGTCATCTGGATTGGGACAGGGCCCTCTCCTTTGACCTTCAGCTTCTATTACAGCTCCCTCAGGCACCACCTGCTTCCTCTATAGGTCAGCCTCACCAAATCCATCCAGATGTTTCTCTTCTCCCCACAGTAATCATCTCTATCCCACTAATGACAGAACCTGGGAATGCGTTTGGAGAAGACTGGGTGAGGGTTTCTTCCTGTGAAAACAGACTACAGGCCTCACCAGGCTTAACATGAGTGAGTGGGAGCAGCCTGTCTTGAAGGGCCCAGCAGTTCTGACAGTCTAGGAGTTAGAGGCTAGCTCTCAAGAAATGCTTGTTCAATGGCAGAATACTTTGATTCTTCTCAGGAGATGGTACAATACAAATTCTGGGCTCATTAAATTCATATATGTCTATAGGTTGAGCATCATTCTTAGAGCTGTCAGTTCTTCCAACTAGCATGCTTACACTACAGAAAAGGTGAAAGTAGTTCTAGAACACTGCCCACCCAGGTCTGCTCATCTCTGCCTTTGTCAGCGCTCTTCCAGCCACGCCAGGCTGCTGCTCAGATAGTTCTGGTAGAAGCCTGTTGAAGCCCCAGCCCTCAGGTCAGGGTGGCTGAAGGCTGACGACTGTGGCAGCCTTCAGAGTGGCAGGTGGTGGCAAGCAGCAGGAGGCAGGAGCTTCCAGGCTCAGCCACCAAGACAGCATCGCTGGCTGTCAGTTCAGTGCTGTCAGGACTAAGCTGCTTGCCTGTCCCTACTTCCACCCCATCCCCCAATCCTAGTGAATGCATCCTTATTTGTAAGAAAGCAACAGAAGCCCAATGCGAGGACACAGGGCCTTGAGAATGACATCAGTAGTGATTACTGCTCCCCAAGTGCTCTCCTCAGTGAGTACAATGGAACCTTTCACTGATGCTGTGAGGCACATATGGTAGGCCAAGTACCCATTTTACAGAAGAAGAAATTGAGCCTCAGGGAGGGGAGTGGCTTGCCCACAGCCATACAACAAACGGAGAAGCTAGGACTTAACCGCCAGTCTTCTGATGCGCATTCCAGGGCCCCTTCCTCCACCCCAGCCTGCATCTGCCTGCATGGAGTGCTGGCTCAGGGCGAATCAAGGACACCAATAAATCCCCGATTTGTAGGTTGAGGTTCTTGCTCCAAACCACCCATTTTCAGAGATTTGCTCCTGAGATGTAACTGACTCCTCTTGAAGCCAAGCAGCATTAGCATTCAGGGTTCCCTGCCGTTCCCAACCACCCTGCTATTCTCCAGAGCCTCATGTCTTGCAATTTTGGAAATGCTCAAAATCCTGTTTGTTCTACAGAAAGGTCAGTTTCAGTTTGCTGGAATATTCTGCTGAAAATAAACATGTAAATAACACATCCCCAAATACAGGCATTGATACTATGCACATGGATATTCATCTGATCCCATTTGCAAATGCAGACATATTCGTTCTCTCTTTCTCTCTCCCTTGCTCTCACTCTCTCTCTTTCTCCCCACCCCCCATCTCTTTGTCTCTTCAAACACATTCCTGATACATTGTTTTCTTATCTATTCTACAGCTACCTCCATCATGCCCCACAACATCTTCATTACTTTCTTCTGAGATAGTCTACTGGGGACCATCCTTGTCCTCAGAGGGCTTGAAGTCTAATTTAGTTGGCCAACATCAGGTGCCTCAAAATTCACAGGGGGAAAATGTAACAATATTGAATAAAGTTGTTCATGGAGTATGGATGTAAGAGAAGAGACTAGGAAAACCGACTAGCAAATTGGCCTGAGCTGAACTGGTGAGGTGCTAGTGAAGAAACAGCAGACTAAATAAGCCACAGGCGATTTTCACCTTTGTGACAATTTTGCCCAGGGCCTACATGCCCAGTGCCCTCTGTAGGGAAAATGAGGCTCCCTGAGTTTCTCTTTCCTGGCTACCTTTGACCTCTTATCTTCCTGCCCAATAGGAAGAGTGCATACCCTTTGCTGGCCTTTTTATTGGTGTCCATGTTAAACCTCCAGCTACATTGTTCAAAATTAAGCATTTATAACAGCCTGCCAGACTTCTTTGGATAAGTTATATTCTTTACTCTGTTTATGCTCATTTTATGGACATGGACTATATTCTTATAATCTCTACCTTCTCTAAGAAATTTTTCCCCTTTTTTTGTCATTCTGGACTAGAAATATAGAAAGGGAAGAGTTGCCGTATGTCATTGTTCAGACAGAATCAGAAATAATGTTGACTTCAGAGCTGAACTTGTCTCTATCAGAAGGGAAACCTTTGTTTTCTCATTATTTAGGGGGTGGGGAGGCCATCACATGCCTTGAAATGCATTTTAATGAATGTTTATAAGGTCATGGGGATCACATTGGTGGCTTTGTCTGCTGGATTCTGAAATGGGACTCTGCAGGCATTTATGTATGGAGAGAAAGGAATTCGTTTCTAAAAGATGCCGGGGCACTGTCACTCACTCCCTCCCCCTTCCTCGCCACCAAAGGCAGGGCCTATGAGGGCTCTAGCTGGGAGTGGGGACATCTGGAGTCCAGTGTCCTTATCCCTTAACCAATTGTCTGAAAACAAATCATATCCCATACTGTTTTCTATAAGAAGAGAAGCTTGAGATATGCTCTGTAGAAATCCTGCCAGTGTCTACTGATAGTCACAGGGAGAGGCCTGAAGGAAGTAGGAGCTGTGGCATAGCTAGGACTAATACCCTGCTGTCATCAAGACCACAGAGACTGGAAAAAAGCACATGGGTGAAGCAGGGAGATTCATTTAGAAAGAGCTGGGAGCTTGGTTGGGGACCATCCGCCCCCAACCTGGATGCTGGGAGGGGAGGTCATTCCGGAGCAGTGAGCTATCTCCTGCCCTTGATCTAAAATGGTGGCTGTGGGATTTAGTCAGAAACACCCAGTCCGGGCAGGCAAAACCTCAGCGGCATCAGCCACAGGCACAGGTGACCCAGTGAAGGCACGAGCATGGCACTGGGCACAGGGGAAAGTCCAGCCAACTTCTCGCAGTTGAGATGAGTAACAGATCATGGGACTGCGAAAGAGGAGACACGAAAGCAAGCCTTTATCTAGGGGCAAAATTAACTGGATAATAGATTTCCACGCCTCACTGATGTCTGGTGAAAGCAGATGCTATTACAGCAAGGCTGAGCACTTCCGTGTAAACACAGCCGCCTCTCTTAGGCCTTGTTTAGGGTTGGCTGGTGTTCTTGCTGTTCAGCCAGGTACTTCAGGCTCACCGTTGAAAGCTCATTCCATGAAATTCAAAACATGGAGCCGCATGGCCTCTGACAAAGTGGAGTCTCATTGAAGTGCATTGAAAAATGAAAGCTCAGAAAAGGCTTGCAGCCTGCCACTCTGCCAAAACAGCAGCCTCAGTCGGCAACCTCAACCCCATCCCTGAGAAAAGCCAGGTGAGCCTGCCCCCTTTATTAGGCATCCTCACGAAACATTCAGTGAGTGTACATGCTAGCAGCTGTCCAGCCACAGACTTGGCATAGCAAAAGTGACATCCGCTCCAGCAGTGGCGGCCTGCTGGGATCTACTTTGTTATTGAGTAGTCAGTTGGTTTCTAGAATTGGAATTGATCAGGGACCATTTGCTTGGGATGCAGTTGATGGGTGCTGGAAAAGGTGTGTGTACACAGGCTCTCATGTAGGAGAGGTGCAGCCTCCTTTCCTTTGCCAGTGGCCCCAGCTGGTACCTTTAGTGTCTGGTGGTCATGCCCTGCCTCCTCCATCCCTGCACCTTACTCCCAGAGGTTAAGGGTGACCAACAATTAAGTGAAAGCTCTGAGAGCCCATAGAAGCTGCCAGCAAATTTCAGAGGCTCACCTGGCAGGGATGCCAGACCATTGCTCCTCACAGCCCCTGCCCTCCCCTCCTTTCCCCAACCCCCAACCCCTCCTTGGCCTGCCTGGCTCTGCATTGCTTCACCATTGTTACAACTGTCTTGCAGTTCGAGACATCATGAACAGCACATTGGGACTGACTGTTGCCAGCTCAGACTCCCTGCGGGGGATCCTTATGTCAAACCCACACGCAATCATCCCTGATTGATCTATTTCGTACATTTCTATTTTTAACCTATTGGATCTCTTTGGATTCTTTGGGAGGATGTAGAAGAAACACAATTTCAGTTTGGGACACAGTGGCTTGTTTGTAGATTGCTCCATAATGGATTGAGTAAATGGCTGAGTCCCCTGTGTGTTGGGTCATTTATGTTCCATTGTCCATTGATTCGTTCAACTGCCATTTACTGAGCACCTGCTGTGGGCCAAACAGTTAGTGAGCTGCTCCATGGGCCAGCTCAGGGACACTATGGGTGTTGTGCCCAGTCAGGCTCCTGGGAAAGTGGGCACTGAATGACTGCATGGGCCTCAGACCTCTTATTGTACCTGCTCTACCCCTCTCCAACCCATTCCTTCCTGACCCATGGTATTCAAGCCTCAGATGAGTTTGCTGACAGAGCTGTCCCTTGAAGTGCCCTTGTTCAGATTGTGGGCATCTCAAAAGAAAAGTCAAAGAAGTGTGCAAGTCCTCTCACTCAAGTTGGCAAGCCCCTTCTGTGGGGGCAATGCAGTGTCCTACCACCAACATGGCGAAGGCAGTGGGTCTGGAGGCAGTTGAGTGGTGGTGGAGGGGCCCAGCGTCTGACCTGGGCTTCGTTGCCCTCTGGCTGAGCAACTCTGGGAAGGCCTGCCCCTCTCTGGGTCTCAGAGACCTCCCTGTCTTTAAGAAGGGAATTGGACTCCCAGAACCCTTCCATACCTGCCCTTTAAAATGCCAGGTACCAGTTAGTGAGGAGCTATTAGGTGTCATACAATGTGCCCTGTTTCACTTAATAGTCAGAGCACCTTCGTGAGAAAAGAAATGTAATTACGCTCATTTTACACATAAAGAAACTTGGCTCTGAGAGGTTCGGTGGCAAGGCCAAGATCAGAGCCCTAGGCCACGCTGCCTCCAACCTTGCTCTGGGCCAGTGGTTTTCTGTTGAGAATCAGTCATGGAGCTGTTGGAAAAACTCCCGATGCCTGGGCCACACCCTTGATGAAGCTGTCAGTTTGTGGTGGGAGGGCCCAGGAATGTGGATGTTTCTAAGTGATTCTGATGTGCAGCAAGGCCTGAGACATACAGCCCTGGGGATCTACTTTGATGTTCACTTGGCCATGACAGTCATGCCCCCCATCGTGCTGGCAAGTGACCCCATGCATGCCTTGAGCTCCTAGTGGGCTACAAGCTCATCAAACCAGAAGAGCCAAACTTAAGGTGACATCAGAGGATGAGTACTGTATGTCCTAGTGAAACTTCCAAAGCTGAAAAAGAGTTATTTTGTAGGGGGGAAAAAAGCTTTAAAAGAATTCTACCTGTTCACTTATCGGCATTCAGGTGGTTTCCAGATCCCTCTCTTCCTTTCCTTATTTTGATCATTCCTGCACATACTCCTTTGCCCCCACTTCCTTTCCCGGTTACCTGCTAACATACACGTCATGATCATTAACACAACGCAATGGATAACTGTATGAAGCCATGAAGAGTAGGAAGTCTCACATTGCTAGTGAGTTTGCAGGCTGTGCTTCTATAAAGGGTGGGCAGCTCCCCTGAGGTTCAGATCCCAGATTGGGACCTTTTCTCATTGTTTGATATCTCCCCAACCTGAGGATGCATCTTCAGAGGAGAATTTCTTATTTAGATAACTTTATACCTTTTTAAATTTTTGGATTACGAGTCCTTCTCGTTAAAGAGAAGTGAAGAGAATAGAAAGGGAATTGCCAGTCATCCCAAATAAATGACCACTCCAAATTGTTGGGTATAGGTCCTTCCAAATTATTTTTGTGTACACATAGCAGTGTGTGTGTGTGTGTGTGTGTGTGTAAAAATAAATGGAACAACGAATACGATGCCTACAATGACTGTTCTGAAACTTGTGCTTTCCCCAAAACAGTATTTTAAACAGCTCCCCAAGAAAACACATCCAGATCTACTACTTTCCTGTAAGGGCTCTGTTGTATTCTATTTTACCACTGCAGCCTGATGCATTTAACCAAGACAAGAAGGCAACCTAAAAGTTCAAGTCTATACTATGGTATTCCTTTGTTAAAATGTATGTGTCTGTAGATAGGTAAGAATTAAAACTATTGGCCGGGCGCGGTGGCTCAAGCCTGTAATCCCAGCACTTTGGGAGGCCGAGACGGGCGGATCACGAGGTCAGGAGATCGAGACCATCCTGGCTAACACAGTGAAACCCCGTCTCTACTAAAAAATACAATAAAACTAGCCGGGCGAGGTGACGGGCGCCTGTAGTCCCAGCTACTCCGGAGGCTGAGGCAGGAGAATGGCGTGAACCCGGGAGGCGGAGCTTGCAGTGAGCTGAGATCCGGCCACTGCACTCCAGCCTGGGCCACAGAGCAAGACTCCGTCTCAAAAAAAAAAAAAAAAAAAAGAATTAAAACTATTTAGCTACTTCTAGTTTTCTCTCCAATGCCTGCCTTTGGCCTCATGGTTCATTTAGTAACTTCTGCATAGTTTCATTGAATTCTCCTTGAAGTGGGCAGATTACCCTTTGCATAATGTTCTATCCCGTTTTAGTATACAGACAACATAATGCCTTATTTGAAATGTAATTAGACAGTTTAAATGAAACATAGTAATGAAGAAATAAGCACTATGGTTCCAAAGACAGGCTGTATTTTATAGTTTTCACAACTATAAGTCTTTAAACTGAGAGGTCTGTTTTATCATGCACGTTTCCTGTTCATTAGCTTTAATGTGCCAAGCCTTTATAAAAATTCCTCTCTCTCTCTCTCTCTGTGTGTGTGTGTGTGTGTGTGTGTGTGTGTCTCACCTCTCTTCCCTTCTCCTTTCCTCTTCTCTTCTCTTCCATTCACAGGGAACTGTTAAGAGGAGACAAGAAGAAGACCACTTCCAGTTTCCAGACATGGCTGATGGGGGCTACCCTAATAAAATTAAGAGGCCTTGCCTTGAAGATGTCACCCTTGCAATGGGCCCAGGCGCCCATCCTGGTACTGCCTGTGCAGAGCTGCAGGTCCCTCCATTGACAATGAATCCTAGCCCTGCGGCTATGGGAGTGGCTGGCCAGTCGTTACTGCTCGAGAATAACCCTATGAATGGCAATATCATGGGCTCACCATTTGTGGTACCACAGACTACAGAAGTGGGACTGAAAGGGCCTGCTGTTCCTTACTATGAGAAAATCAACAGCGTGCCGGCTGTAGACCAGGAGCTTCAAGAGCTGCTAGAGGAGCTCACCAAAATTCAAGACCCTTCTCCGAACGAGCTAGATCTTGAGAAGATACTGGGGACGAAGCCAGAAGAGCCACTGGTTTTAGATCATCCCCAGGCAACCCTAAGCACAACCCCCAAGCCTTCGGTTCAGATGTCACACTTGGAGAGCCTGGCTTCCAGCAAGGAGTTTGCTTCTAGTTGCAGCCACGTTACTGGCATGTCACTTCAGATCCCGTCCTCCACAGGGATCAGCTATTCGATTCCTTCCACCAGTAAGCAGATAGTGTCACCGAGTTCTTCAATGGCACAGTCCAAGAGCCAGGTCCAGGCTATGCTCCCTGTTGCTCTGCCCCCCTTACCAGTGCCTCAGTGGCATCATGCCCACCAGCTGAAGGCACTGGCAGCCAGCAAGCAGGGGTCTGCTACGAAGCAGCAAGGGCCCACCCCCAGTTGGTCTGGTCTGCCTCCTCCAGGACTCTCTCCACCTTACCGCCTGGTGCCATCACCACACCCACCACCACCACCACTGCCGCCACCACCCCCACCATTCAGCCCCCAGAGCCTCATGGTGTCCTGCATGTCGTCCAATACTTTGTCGGGCAGCACTCTCCGAGGCTCTCCCAATGCCTTACTGTCAAGCATGACGTCCAGCAGCAATGCTGCCCTGGGGCCCACCATGCCCTATGCTCCTGAGAAGCTCCCCAGCCCTGCTCTCACTCAACAGCCGCAGTTCGGCCCTCAGAGCTCCCTTCTTGCCAACCTCGTGTCCTCTACCATCAAAACCCCTCAAGGACACCTGATGTCTGCTCTGCCCGCCAGCAACCCTGGGCCTTCCCCACCCTATCGCCCGGAGAAGCTCTCCAGCCCAGGCTTGCCACAGCAGTCCTTCACCCCACAGTGCTCCCTGATCCGAAGCCTCACTCCCACCAATAATCTTCTAAGCCAGCAGCAGCAGCAGCAGCAACAGCAACAGCAGCAGCAGCAGCAAGCAAATGCGATCTTTAAGCCCATGAACAGCAACTCATCCAAAACCCTGAGCATGATCATGCAGCAGGGGATGGCAAGCTCCAGCCCAGGAGCCACAGAGCCATTTACTTTTGGCAACACCAAGCCCTTGTCCCATTTTGTTTCTGAGCCGGGTCCCCAGAAGATGCCCTCCATGCCTGCCACCTCTAGGCAGCCTTCCCTGCTCCACTACCTGCAGCAGCCGACACCAACACAGGCCTCTTCAGCCACTGCCTCCTCCACAGCCACTGCCACCTTGCAGCAGCAGCAGCAGCAACAGCAGCAGCAACCTGACCATTCATCATTCCTTCTGCAGCAGATGATGCAGCAACCCCAGCGTTTTCAGCGATCAGTGGCCTCAGATTCCATGCCTGCTCTGCCCAGACAGGTAAAACAATCTCATATCTGGCTGTGTTCTTTGGTTTTGGAAATAACAACTGTGTTTCATGCTGCCAATATCTGGCTCTGGTGGGTAAATGCAGGCTATAGTTCTCTCTGAGAGTGGAAATGATTCTGAAAAAGTCTACTGAAGTCAGCTAATCCTGTGTGGTTAAAAGCACAGTGTTAATAAGGCCAAGGTTATGGTTTCAGTGCCTGTTCAGGTCACGTAACTTCCCTGGAAGGAAAGCTGCACCCACAACGTGCTCCCGGTGGAAGGAGCCAGGTGGGACAAGTCCGAATACAGAAATGCCTTCCCTGCACTGGGCCATGTAGAAAGACCAGTGAATCCTTCTTAAGATGTAAGGAAATTGCACTGAAGCATTTAAATCTCATCCCTGCTGGCAGAATGATGAACACTAAGCCTTCTAGAAATGCCACAGCAAACTTTTGCTGAGCAACCTCAGCATGCCGTTTGTCACTGTGCTGGACACTCAGGCAGGTCGTGAAAGGAAAAAGGTATTTGTAAGGTAGTCACTCTTATCATCTCCATTTTACAAATGAAGAAACTGAGGCTCAGAGAGTTGAAAGACTTGCCCAGAGTCACATAGTTCGCAAGGGACAGAGCAGGAACTTGAAGCCAGGTGGTCTCACTCCAGAGCCTGTGCTCTTCTTGAATTTACTTTTGACTTCTGACCCTCCATCATCTCCTCCAGGCTTTTCAATCATGAAATGCAGCTGACTCCACCTGGGTTGTGTCTATCACAGTTCCCAGTTTTCATTGCTGTGACCCCTGCCTGTATTAGTTATCTGTGGCTGCATAACAAATTACCCCAAGCACCAGCTTCAAACCTTATGCATACGTTACCCCACATCCTGATTTCTGGGTGTTAGGAATCCTGGCATGGTTTCACTGAGTCTTCTGACTGAGTATCTCCTAAGGCTGCAGTCATCTCAAGGCTCAATGGGGAAAAATCTGCTTCCAAGCCCACTCGCGTGGTTGCTGGCAGGAAGCAGTTCCTTGCAGGTTGTTGGACTGAGGCCTCGGTTTCTCATGAGCTATTGGCCAGAGGCCTCCCTCGGTTCCTTGCCACATGGCCTCTTCACAGAGCATCTCACATCATGGCAGCTGGCTTCATCTGAGTGAGCATGAGAGAGTGTGCCAGTGAAGCAGGGTAATGGGGGCAGAGGCAGGAGGGATAGTGCCAGCACGTCAGAAGTCACAGTCTCTATGATCTAGTCTGGAAAGTAACATCCCACCACTTGTGCTGTATTCTATTCATTAGATGTAAGCCAGAGGAGATTGCATGAGGGTGTAAATACCAGGAGGCAGGGCTCAGTGGGGCCAGGTCACATGTGTGCCTACACAGAATACTCAGTCGCCATCTACCATCCCTCCTTCCCATTCCTCTCATCCTTGCCCAAGTTCAGGTCCTCTTGATTCTTTATCTGAACTCGTACAGTTGACCCTTAACTGGTCTCTCCCAATAAACCATCCATTGCTCTATGAGTCGTCTTGCTAAAACAGTGACCTGATCATGTTTTACACTTGCTCAGATGTCCCCAGAGGCCCATAAGCTGGCCCCACCAGCCTCCTGGGCCCTTCAGCATCCATCAGGCCCTGCCTTGCACTTTGTTTCTATTACCCAGAAGTGCCTGCAGCACTTGGTCCACGCTATCTGGTCTCAGCCTTTACTCCAGGGCCGTTCCATGGGCCTGGTCATCCCTTCCCACATTTTCTCTCCTATCCAACACCTGCAGCTCCTTAGGGCTCAGGCACCATCCCCTCCAGGAAGCTTTTCCGTGACTGTCCTCAGTACTTCCATTTCCCACTGTGCCTCCCTCTTCTGGAGAATGATCAAGGAGGAGATATCATAAAGTGCTTGGCCAGAGACCTGGCCCAAGGGAAGCACCTGTCAGGGGCTGACCTCTTATTCAAGAGCTCTGTGGCAACCCCTAGAGTATAGAGGTTGTGTCTTTTCCAACCAGGTTTCCTGGAGCATAACCATGCAGAGTGCTTGACCCCAGAGAGTTGGTCGTTTGATAGACCATATGGCAAGCAGAGCTCCCATGGGGGTGGCCGGGGAAGCGGTGTGGAGACAGGCAAAGCACATAGGACACAGCAGGCTACCTGGGGCTCGGGCCCTGGTCTGCAGTTCAGGAGCACTTTGGTTTGATTTTATTATAGGGCTGTTGCCATCTGTTTGCATGGACTTCTGCAGCTAGCTCGGTGAAGCCCCGGCATCAACACGGGAACTCTTTCACTAGCAGGCAAGATCCACAGCCTGGAGACGTGTCACCATCTAACATTGTGAGCCTTTCTGTTTTGTTTTGTCTTCAATTGGGTACATTTTTTGTAGACTGATTGTGTTGTCCCAGAGCTGGATCAGCTGGCTCAGAGGGAGAATTCTCAATGATTGGGGTCATGCAAATCATACTCAACCAATTACCTAGGTGGGGTTGGAGAAAGTGTTGAGAAGAAAGACCAAGCAGTCAAGCTCTCTGGGACTAGGAGCACAATAAAGGGGGCAAGCAACCTTTGCCAGCAGAGACAAGAAGCTGGGTCCCCAAATGGGAAATGCTATTGCCACCAAGAGCTGCCTTTCCAGCCTGTGCTGGCTTGTGCCCAGGGGCCAGGCATGGGACCTGGTGCTTCACCTGCCTCCTCTCATTTTAATCCTCAGAGGCAGGGGCTGTTACCATTCTCTTGGGAGTTGGGGGAAAAGGCACAGAGAAGTGACCAAAGTTGCCCACAGTCACACAGCAAGTTGGGGCCAGAGCAGGCAATCTGGCTACAGAGCCCACACTCATACTCCCATGCATGGGGCACTGCCTCTGGAGACTTGTGTTTCCACTGTCACCTCTTAACTGCTTCCTCCTCTACAAATGAAGGTGATGACAGGTTGTCTGAGGATTAAGTGTGTTAATACATCTAAAGCACTTTGAACAGGGCCTGGCATAAAGTATGCGCTGACAAGGGGTTTGCTGTCATGATGACTCTACCTCCTGACCTTGTGCTCCCAGATCTGTTCCATGGGACTAAGATGTGGTTCTAAAAACCAGTAGCTGTGGCAGGACAGACACAAGCCACGCTCTCTCCAGACCCTGTACCCACCATGAGATTGATAGGAGTTGTGCAGCCTCTGAGCCTTGTGGGCTCCTTTTGCTGTAGGCCCTGACCCTCCTGGACAACTCCCAGCCTGATGGGAAAGGGAAAAGGGCCAAGGGCCATCCCTGCCTTGCAGACTGGGGATCTCACTTTGCTCTTTCTTGAACTCTCCGGCACTCTCACTCCACTCCTTTCCCTAGCACTCTGTTCTCTACCTGGTATTCTTCCAGGCCTCCAAGCTGGGGGTCTCAACAATCCTTCTGTTTCTTCTTATGGCCTCTCCCCATTAACTCTAAGACCTAAGAACTCAGCCCTGGTCATTCTTCCAGGGGAGAGAAAAAAAAATAAAGAAAAAAGCGAGTGTTTGAGGCAAGAGCTGGGACTGCTGCAGGACAGATGGTGGCCTCAGTGGTGGGGAAGAACATGTTTCTCGCTTCCAGCAGGCTATGCAAACTTCCCAAGTTTTACTGATGCTCAAGCTGAGCCTCAGGAACACTAATTACCTATTATATGGCATTTACTAACCTGTTGCATTTGGCATGGATGATAATGGTTACCATGGAAAAACTGGACATTCATTTGAATCTGGATCTTTGAGGTTTTGTGCGGGGGGTGGGGGCTTTTTTGGTTTTTGTCTGTTTGTTTGTTTCTTTACAGGCAGGGTCTCACTCTATTGCCCAGTCTGGTCTCAGACTCCTGGGCTAAAGTGATCCCCCCACCTCAGCCTTCCAAAGCACTGGGATTAAAGCATGAACCACCGCATCTGGCCTAGATCTTATTTTTCTAAAGGAGTTATTCCTAAATGTGAGATGAGACACAAACGCTTGAGTAAGCTGAAAAGCCAAATCCAGCCTTCTGTATAGGAGCTCATTTTTATGTACAGACCAGCATCTCTCTACTTGGGGGATTTTGCTTTATCAGTTGAGTGAACTATTCAATTTCAATGCACCATTCACGTCCACGTAAGGTAAAAGGCAATGCCACATGACTTTGGGGCAGCTGTTTAGCATGGGAGGTTGAGCAAGCAAGGGCACTGGAGGCAGACAGAACTGAAGTTCAAGTCTGGCTACAGATGTTGACTGATTCAGGTCCCATGAGCAATGTTACTCAACCCCTGAGCCTCAGCTGAAAATGGGGAAAGGAATAGTCCCCTTCACATAGGGCATTAGGAAGGCAAAGGAGATGCTAACTTGAAACTGCTTAGAATGGTGCCCAGCACACACTACAGGCTCAGCCAGGGCTAGTGCAGCCTTGTGGGCTTGGACCTGAAACCTCTGGGGCCTGATGAATTTCCAAATTCAGGACATTTGGGACTTTGGGAAGGTAATGTGGTACAAATACCAAATGTCACACAACCCTCCAGTGTAATCTGAAGCAGCATTTCATTACTTTTGCAAAGAAAAATGAATATTTAAGGAAGTCCAGAGTCAACTTTTGCCCCCAACTTTTATGTGCCCCACCCAATTTTTATGTGCCCCCACATAAAATTTGGCATCAAATTTACAAAAGTAAAATTGGCTTTCAGAGCTTCTTGGACTTGAAATTACCAGATACGGGATGTGGACCTGGAATTACTAAGGGAGGGATCTTTAACTCTTTATGGAGTTGCAACACCCAGCGCTGGTTTGTGAGATTTTAATGACCCCAAATTCCCCACCCTCCCTCCAGGCTGGGTGATACAGATCTTGATGTTTAATCAGACTGAGGCAAAATGAATTTTGTTTGCATCATCTGATGTCCCTTCTCCCTGAAGATTACTGGAGATACCTTGGTGTATTGCAAAAATCAGGGTTAGGACTTACTTCGGTTTCACTATTCACGACTGCAGAACAGATCTTATATTTACTCAAAGACAAAGACAAGTCTGTCAAGGAGATGGGAGTTGAACTGTGGAAGAGTGG